CTATAATGATCATGTCTCCATGGGCTCTGCTCTCTACTTCTGGAATGTCTGATATAAAAGTGTATTTGATTTCCTGGCCATTTACCCCTCTTTCTCTCTTTATTCTCCACCCCCCGCCCCCCGACTTATAAGGACAGTTCTCAAAGTGGTCTTTCCTGATTTGATTTTTTTTTTTTTTTTACAAATAGTATATTGTCAAATTAGTTTCCACATAACACTCAGTGCTCATCCCCACAAGTGTCCTCCTCCATGCCCATCCCCCCCTCCCCCCCACATCCATCAGTCCTCAGTTTTTGTCAGCATTCAAGAGTCTCTCATGGTTTGCCTCTCTCCCTTTCCCCCACCATTTCCGCCCTTCTTCTCCCCCTTTTCCTCCGTCAAGTTCCTCCTAATCCTCCTATACGTGCAAACATATGAATTTGTCCTTCTCTGCCTGACTTATTTCGCTCAGCATAACACCCTCAAGGTCCATCCATGTTGCTACACATGGCCAGATTTCATTGTTTCTCATTGCCATGGAGTATTCCATGGTATAGATAAACCACATCTTCTTGATCCATTCATCTGTTGATGGACACTTAGGCTCTTTCCATGTTTTAGCTATTGTGGAGAGTGCTGCTATGAACATTGGGGTACATGTGCTCCTATGCCTCAGCATTTCTGTATCCCTTGGGTAAATTCCTAGCAGTGCTATTGCTGGGTCATAAGGGAGTTCTATTGTTAGTTTCCTGAGGAACCTCCACACTGTTTTCCAGAGGGGCTGTACCAGTTTACATTCCCACCAACAGTGTAGGAGGGTGCCCGTTTCTCCACATCCTCGCCAGCATCTAGAGTTCTCTGATTTGCTCATTTTAGCCACTCTGACTGGCGTGAGGTGGTATCTCAGTGTGGTTTTGATTTGTATTTCCCTGATGAGGAGGGATGCTGAGCATCGTTTCATGTGTCTGTTGGCCATCTGGATGTCCTCTTTGGAGAAGTGTCTGTTCATATCTTCTGCCCATTTCTTCACTGGGTTGTTTTTCGGGCGTGTAGTTTGGTGAGTTCCTTCCAGATTTGATTTTTAATCTGAAAGTAAATTTCCTGCTTTGAATATTTTCCCAAATTCATGTATGGATTGACTTTTGAATATTATTTAGAATATGAAATTTGGGATTTTACTGTTTCTCCATTTTTTAGATTCTAGTAACCTTGGTAATAAGGTACAATACTTGATATCTTTTTTCATATGTCTAGCAATTTTTCTCTATTTGTTCACTTTATTCACTTATTTTTAAAGCTTACTTATTTACTTTGAGAGAGAGAGAGTGCATGCATACGAGTGGGGGAGGGGCAGAGAGAGAGGGAGAGAAAGAATCCCAAGCAGGCTCTGCAGTGTCAGTGGGACACGGGGTTCAATTGCACGAACTGTGAGATCATGACCTGAGCCAAAATCAAGAGGTGGATGCTTGACTGAGCCACCCAGGTGCCCCTATTTGCTCACTTTAAAGAAGAACCTAGATTGATGTTTGTTTGGTACTGTAATTGAAATGGTTCTATAAAAATTCTGTTGCTTATTTTCAAGCATGTTGGTTTCAGGCAATGGAGAAAGAAGAAGAAGAAAAAAGCCTGGTTGTTTATGATTTAATTTTCTAGATTGGGGTTGGGGGTGGTCTACTTGGCCATGATTAGGGCAGGGAGAGCTCCTGAGAAAAGGAGAGAGGTTTGCTGCTGTTCTTGGCAACTTCTTTTCAATATTTACTGAGGCAGTCCACGGGTAGGCAGAGGAGTATCTCCCTTCTCTAACTGGCATGAGCAAGCCAAGTTAGGAACTTGCTGGCCAATATCGCTGCTTTTTTGTGCAGAACAAAAGATGGGCTGAGTCTTGGTCTTTCCTCTGAGAGCAGACACTCGCGCAATTCCTAAAGTCACTCAATTTGTTTCTTGCCAGTGCCCACCTCACCCTTATTCCTAGCCCTGGCTGTCTGTCATAGGACTCAGGGAGGCTCCCTGGGGCAAACCCTCATTACCTCCCAGAGACACTATTCCTTAGTCAGTGCCTCCATCAATATGGTTTCATTTGTACTATATCTTGCAGAAGTTCCTTAAAGTTTCTGGACCAGAATCTGGAACAGAGAGGAGTTAAGTAAATGGGTTCAAATTATGATCTTTAAACAAGGATCAGAAGGCGAAACAGATTTTTACAGTTTCACCACTAGGTGGTGCCACCCAGTACTGAAAACAATGATTGCTATCTTGGGACAAACAAGAACCATTTGTAACTAGTATGAGGGCAAGTTTGTGAGTTCGTATGGAACTTGTATGCACTCATGCATATGTGCATGCATAGGTGTCTGAGCATGTGTACACATACAATTCTTGGTTCATGAGTTTACCCACAGAGCAATTTACCAGGGTGCACAGGTATGTGAGTGCGCACGCATAAACCCATGCACTCTGGAAAGAATGGGCATGAAGCTAAACGATATGAACTCAAAACAGCTGGCCTTCCAGCTGTAAGGTCTGAAACCCCAGTCCCTCAGCTAGGAAGGCAGGCCGTGCGGGGTGCAGAAGACAAACCCCACGGGAGAAATACGACAGTGCTGCAGAACGGCTTTTCTGACACAGTCACACATTCCTCCAAAGTCATCAGCCCTGCAAAGCCTGTGTCCATTTGGGACTCAAGAAGGTCTCAGCCATTTCTGCAGCCCCAGAGGACTGTGGTCTCTATACCTTCCTCAGAGGGCTCAAAGCAGCTAATCAAACACCCACTGTGGGATCCTATCTTCCATCCAGTTGGGAAGTGACCCTGCACTTAAAACAAACGTCATCTGCGCGCGCGTGTGTGTGTGTGTGTGTGTGTGTGTGTGTGTGTGAGGTGGGGGGCGTTCGTTCAGAGTCATTCACATCTGCACAGCCCTTTCCCAGTTATCTCTGTGGAAAGTCCCCAGCTGATCTTAGACTCTCACTCTGGACGGCCCCCTCATTCCAGGAATAGTGCTGTCTTGACTACCTGCTGTACAGAATAGCCCACAAAGCTGGAAAACCTTAAGCAAGTCCCTTCCCTTCTCTGGTCTCACTTTCTCTAACTCTCACTGAGGGCTGGTCTGGGTGATCTCGAGAGGTGCTTTGCGCTGACAGAAGCTCTGCGAGTCTGCAGTTTGTGGGGCCCCGCCCCGATTCGTGCTGGTGTGGAGTGGGAGTCTCCTCAGAGAAGGAGAAAGTTCTGTTGTCTTCCTCCTCCTCCTTCCAGCAGACTTCTCTCCTTAACAGGCCCTGAGGGAAGGCCCCTGGGCCTCCAGGGCCCCGGAAGCCATAGGCGGGAGCTCTCACTCCAGCATCATTAAAAGTTTAATTGGCCTTCCCTCTGAGGGTGAAAGCCCCAGGACTCATTAGACCTGCTGCCCTTTGAGCCCAATTTGGTTGAAGGGAATGTTTGGCATTTTCATCCAGAGACGGTTTTCACTAAAGGTTTGAGGTGTCCCTGAGAGAGCTCGTCTCTTTGAGGTCTGAGAGGGAAAGTCCCCGGAGGTCACCTTTTGCCCTGGCACTTTTCCAGAGGAGGAACCAGGCTGGGTCAGGGGACGGGCTTGCCTAAGTTAACACAGAGGCTGGCTGCTGAGAACATTCCTCCAGGTGGCAGAGGGATGGGCCCCCAGCAGGGAAGGATGGGACGGGTTGGGTGCGCTCACCATGGGGGGCCCCTGGGCGTCTATGGTCTCATAGGGCGAGACAGAGAGCTGTATGTGAAAAGGAGCTCTGAGGACAGCTTGACAAGCCCAGAGCAGAAAGGGCTCCCCAGGAAGGTAGTGGGTGCCCAGCCCCGAGGCACGGGAGCCGGATGGACAGTGCTTGTTTAGGATGAACAGAGGGGATTGGGGACCCGGAGCGGGAGGGGGGTCTGCAGCTGTTCAGGCCTGGCCTGCTCTGTAAATTCTCTCCAGGAAGGAATGGCATGTTGTTCCTGTTGCTCGGAAGGGATGGGACGGAGCCAGAAGCCTGCCGTTTATGGCCGGTCGAGACTGTTGAACGGGGAACCAGGAGGCTGGGACGGCGCCTGGCCTCTCTGAGCCCAGCAGTCCCCTCCCTGTGTCCAGCTTCCCTGACTCACTGAGCTCCTGAAGTATAGGCCAATTCATTCCACAGGGCCTGCCCCTGTCCTGGACGACTCTGACAGCAGGACCGAGAGCCAGAGACGCTCGAACGCGGAGGTCTCCCCAGTCCAAACTCCTCTGCAATATTGATGGCAACATGTGGCAGGGACTGGTTTAAGTGCTTTATAGTCTTTACTCCTTGAATCCTTAGAAAACCCTATGTATGGGGGAAGGTACTTTTTTTTTTAATTTGAGAGAAAGAGAGAGAGAGGACGCGAGTGAACATGAGCAGGAGAGAGGGGCAGAGGGAGAGAGAATCTCGAGCAGGCTCCATACTCAGCAGAGAGTTTGACTCGGGGCTCGATCCCACCACCCTGGGATCACAACCTGAGCCAAAGTCAAGAGCCAGACGCTCAACCAATCAAGCCACCTAGGCGCCCCAGAAAGTCACTCTTGTTAGCCATATTACAGATGAGGAAACTGAGGCACAGAGAGTTTAAGTAACTTGTGTACAGTCACAGAGCTAGTGAGTTGTATTGTTCCAGAACATAAGTTCTTACTTGCTATGCTGTTCTGTCTAAAAGAGGAGGGAGCTGAGGCCAGGGAGGGGAAGGGGCTGGCTTGGTCACTTGGCGGGTGGCAGGGATGGGGGTGGCTGGGCCTCTTGTCCCCAGCCACAGGGCTTTTCCTTCCACAGCCTGGCCTGACAGTTCCTCTGTCCCCACCCAGCCTCCCCATGGACCTCCCCGGAGTTAACAGTCGCCTGGCCTCTTGCTTGGCGGGCAGCTCCAGCCCAAAGAGGCTGCACCCACATTCCCTGGCTTCTCTCCAGGCTGCAGGAGCTGGGACAACAAAGTCCAGTGACTGTGAGGGCTGAGCAGAGGCCGCTGAAGGGGAGGTAGCAGCGGGGAGCTGCCGAGAGGAAGGACTGTCCAGCCCCCAGATGCTAGGCCTCCTGGGGAGCACGACCCTTGCGGGCTTGATCACAGGCACGGCTGTGGCTCTTCTGCTGTTGGTGCTGCTGCTGGCCACCTGCCTGTACCATGGACAGCAGGACCATGATGTGGAGAGGAACCGCCCGGCTGCGAGGAGAAACCGAGTCCGGTGGGCCCAGCCTTGGCTCTTCCCGGGCCACGGCCACCCGGGACACTCTCACTGTTTCCGCCATCCTGGCCACGTGTCTCACACGCACCATGTGGGCCTCCACCACCACCACCTCCACCGACACCTCCACCACCAAGCCCACCACCAAGCCCACCACCACGCCCACCACCATGCCCACCGAGGCCACCACTGACGCCTGTGAATGGCGGCCACTGCCTGCCCTCCTGTGGACCCCCACGCTCCTGTGCAGAAGGGCGCCTCTCTGTGGTAAACACTGGGTACTGTGCCCTGGGTCCTGCTTGGCTTCTTTTGCATACTACTCACCCCCCAGGGCACTATAAGGAGAGAACTGAGGAGCACTGGGGGTGGCCCTGTGCACACTGGAGGGTAACAAGGTGAGAGCAGAGGTGGTCCCTCAGAGACGGACAGCACCTGTGACTGTAACTCCCAGGGGACACCAGTGCATGTGGATACACAGAAGATGTATCTTGCTCCCTGAAGTGCTGTCTTCTGATTTACTCAGGCCTCTGGCCCGGGGTCGGGGGGCGGGAGGGTAGCTGGGAAGGGCCAGCAGTGCCCTTGTGTTTGGAGAAGGCAGGATGAGGCTGCAATGTCAGTTCACTGGTGCCTTAATGCAAGAAAATAAAAACCACGAGAAGAAGCTTTTGTGAAGAGGCTCTTGGTTGTACAGCTCCGATGGGAGAGGGATCGAGCGGCCAGGCATGTGTCGGCAGTACCCGGGGAACCCCCTTCTCTGATGGGAAGTGAGTGCCCAGCACTGGCAGCTTCTGTCTGGTGCTTGAGGGCCGGCTGTGCCCTGGGGGAAACGGCAGGCCCTGTGGTGCTCCAAGGGCAGCAGGAGAGAAAAGCTTGGGGCCTAAGCTCTGAGGGAGGATTTGGGGTTTGCATGCAGCCCTGCCCAGAGGGGTGGCTCTGGGCTTCTGTGGTACAGTCCAGGGGCTCAGAGAAGAGGGGGGAGGCCACCCACGTTGGTCACCAAGGGCTCTTTCTCCAGTGCTCTTTCCAGTGCATCTCCAGGGCAGACTGAGCTCTGGGACCTGCAGAAGCCCCAGTCTGTGGGTTGTATTGAAGGCAATATTTCCTTGGTAACTGAATCGGGGTTTCTTATCCAAGCCTTGCATCTCCAGCTCCCGGGCCCACTGGTGCCTGTGTATAGCAGAGGGGCTGGGAGGTTCTTTAACCTGGAGGAGGTGGTGCCGAGTTGCCTTGGGAGAGTGCTTGCCTCCTCAGGATCTCACTTTTCCTCTTCCCTAAAATGGGATCGATAGCAGAGACTCCATCTTGCCAAAGCCTGGAGGCATGTTCCAAATACCCCATGAATAGCTGGCACAATTCCACTGGGAGGAAGGAAATCCTGTTCTGAGGCCTTCAGCCCGTGCTTGGGTGGGAAGCGGAGAGAGCAGAGACTTGGGGGCCAGGAGAGGTGGTGGGGAGGGGCTTGAGAACAGGCCAGAACGTCAGGGGCCTGGTGACTCATTGGAACAGAACATCCTGTTTCTTTTCTATTTCCCAGTTGATTCTCTGGGAGGGTTGGAGGTGTGATGGGGAGAGGGAGGCAAATCCACACTGACGGCCCCACTAGATTTCTGGGCTGGGCAAGTGGGTCACGGGTCACCACGTATTGCTGATTTTACCTCTGCAGTGTCCTTCAAGTCTGCCTCCTCTCCCACATTCCCAAGTCTGTCTTAACTTGACCCCCGCCTCCCCTTAGGGGCTCCCGCCCACCTCCAGCCCCTCCCCTTTTCGAAGCATCTTTGCACTGAGGCCTGCCTGGATCTGCCGAAACTCCTCATTGCCCTAGGGCTGAAGTCTCTACCTCCCGGTTGGTTATTGAAGGCCCCCTGACCTGGTCCCTGTCCCTTACTCCTTTAGTCCCATCCATACTGCTCCAGTCATTGGCCCCAGAAAATACCTCGTACTTTCCCCTCTCTGTGTCTTTGCCCAAGAAGAATTTGTTGCTCCCTCCTATGTGGTTCTAATTTGTTATTCATATTTATTTTTGTATTTCTATTGGAACACTGAATACATCTGTCTCTTCCCCCAGAGATTTATGGCAGGATTCAAGGGCCCCTGCCCTCCCAGATCTGAGAAACTTTGAGGGCTCTCTGCCCCCAGTGCAGAACCAGCCCACACAACAGATGCTCAGGAAAAATTCTCAGAATGTCATGCTCTCTGGAAAAGTAAACATGATCGGAATAACCGTTGCCAGAAGTTTGGGGCTTGAGGGACACCGAGTATAGCAGTAGGGCCCCGAGGGGATTAGGTCTCTGAGCTCCTGGGGCCTTTGCTGAGGGGGCTCTTACTCCCCCTCCATCCCCAGTGTTGGGGGTCTGAAAAGTGGGAAATATTAAACAGATGGACGTGTGTGGGCCTACTGGCCTGGATGTCCCCTCTCCCTCCCTCATCTCTTTATGCAGCCCCATGCCAGTCTCGGATGGCTTGCCTTTCCTTAATGTGGCCTGGAGTCTCTGGGAGAGCTCTGTTCTCTCTGTTAGGATGTCTGCCGTCATCTTGGCTCTTCTGATGTTAGGGAAAGGAAGGGGTGTGTCTTTTTCTTCTTTAAAAAAATTTTTTTAAATAATATTTTTTTAATGTTTTATTTATTTCTAGGAGAGAGAGAGAGAGAGACAGCGTGAGCAGGGGAGGGTCAGAGACAGAGGGAGTCACAGACCAAAACAGCCTCCAGGCTCTGAGCTGGCAGTCAGCACAGAGCCCAACGCGGGGCTCGAACCCACGAACCGCGAGATCATGACCTAAGCGAAAGTCGGACGCTTAACCGACTAAGCCACTCAGGCGCCCCTAAAATTTTTTTTAATGTTTATTTATTTTTGAGAGAGAGTGCGCGCAAACAAAGGAAGGGTAGAGAGAGGGAGACACAGAATCCAAAACAGGCTCCAGGCTCTGAGCTGTCAGCACAGAGCCCAACGTGGGGCTCGTACTCACAAACCGCGAGATCATGACCTGAGCTGATCTCGGCGGCTTAACCGACTGAACCACCCAGGGGCCCTGGGGGGTGTCTTTTTCTGATCAGCTGACGATGCTGGATGTGGGGGACACATGTATCTAAGTGATAGTCATCTTGGGGAGTCCCGCGGCATCTGGGGCCCATGGTCAGGGGCTGTAATCACAGGACTACAATAGTCACAAGAAGAGGAGAAGATTCCCCACAAAACCCTTTAGCACAAGCCTCTCTGAGCAGCAGGCAAACATTTTTTAATGTCTTGATCTCTTTAATTCGCCTGATAATGCTGCTGCCACTTAAATCATGGGCCGGGGCTGTTGGGGGATAGCGAGGGCAAGGACCCTGAACTGAGCAGGCACTGTGGTCAAAGTGTCCGCACCTTGTCCACCTTTATCAAAGATTGTTCCTTTTGCCCTGGGCTTGAGACCCGTGTTGGTCATTCCATGTTGCGACTGACGACTGACGGTGTGACATCATGCAACTCCGAGGCGCTCTCGCAGCAGACTGTGTCTGTCCTCACAACATCCCCGGGGCCCTCTCATTGTGCCACACAGCCTCCATTCAACTATTGAATGTCTATTGTCAGAATGGATCAGAAGGCCTAGTTTACTGGTGAATCAGGGAAGGGCCCCAAAACTCAGAAACAGGTAAGGAAACCCATCCAAGGCAGAAGATAAGAGGGCTGAGCTATTGCCCTTTATTCCAGTTTTAAAATGCTGAAAAACACACATCTCCAACAGGTGGCCTCCAACTACATGCGCCCACAAAGAACAGGCAAAGGAGAATTCAGAGGAACACATAATTCAGCATGAAACCCAATTCCTCTGGTGCTGTCTCCTGAATCGGCCAGGTGATTTTGGTAATTGGGTCTGAAACTCTGCCCCGGGGCAGGTGCGTCATATTTCCCTCTCTCTGCTCTCTGGCTGCCCCAATTAATACAAATAATTCGATGGGTGCAGTTTCCTGCCGCGGGCCCAGCCTGCCCAATGCTGCTCACGCAGAGGAATAGCCCTGAGCTCATCCCGGAAAAGGAAAGAGTGATAATTTGACAGGCCTCATTTAGTCCCAATGGGCGCTCTCTCATCCTGCACTTAGCGCTTCCCAAAGCTGGCACTAAAGAAAACTCACTGGGGCCTTGGAGAACTCGCAGGAGACCCTGGGTCCGGTACCTAGAAGCGCTGTTCCTCGCTACTCGGTTTCTCAGAGTTTGGGCAAAGAGGGACTAGAAATCCGGCCTCCTTTCTGGAAGCGGGGTCGTCTCAGGTGGTTAGCTGTGGAAGGGCCGCGACCGAGTGGCCGTCGTCAGGACGCAGACTTGCTCGGTGGTCTGGCCGGCCTGACCCCTCACCCGGATCAGCGCGGGGCTGGAATGGCGTGGGCATGTGTGGGGGTGGGGGAAGTGCAGTCACCGAGGCGGCAGGCAGCCTCGCGGGTCCCGGGCCCACACTCACAATTGGAGGAAGGGATTCAGGAAGTTCTCTGAGCTGCTCAGACATCTCGGAGCCGTGTCCCAAGCAGGACCCAGGCTGCAGCGCCCAGGGATGAGTGTGCCTGGCCTGGCCCCTGGGGTAGCTCCCGGGTCAGGAGGCCATGGCACCACTGCCAGCTCTGTCGCTTGGAGAAGCCCGGGGTAAGTTTTCACAGGCAGGAAGGAGGGCTTGGGGGGAGGCCATGCAAGAGGGCGGCTTCGGCTTCTCCCGGAACAGGAACCGCAGGGTGAAGGAGCCCCATAGCGAATCACTGAAGGGGTTTGGATCCTGCCCTATCTAAATAGCGCTCTCCCAACCCCATGCAGAAAAGGATGCCAAGTGAAAGGGACCACAGGCCCCTGCCAAAGGCCCCATGGCCATTGTGGTGACCTAGCAGTGCCCCCAGCCCCCCAACCCAGCCGACCTGGCGCAGAGCCTTCCTCCCCACCTGCGTTCCTGCCCCTGCTCAGGTCCAGGAGCTCCGCAAGCAGCAGAAGCAGCCATAGGCAGATTCAAGGACTGGCCCGAGGTTCTTCTAGGGGCTCATCTCGTCCCCAGGAGGGGGAGTATTTTGTCTTTTGTCTGAGCAGACAGACTCTCCCGAAATCTGTAGGCGTCACCAGAGGGCCGGGTTGGCAAGGTTCCCTCTGAGCAAAGTCTTCTGTTCCTTCTTTCCAGCCCCTCCGAGTCCAGGAAGTCTTGCGCTCACATCTTTCAGGACAGCTCTTCTTCCAGAAGCTGCCAGTGGAGTTGACCACAGCTCTTGAAATCCAGACCAGAGGCTTAGAAAACAATAACAGAGACCAACCGAGGTCTGAGAGGCGCCATGAGGGGTGCCCAATGGCCTAGAAGGGCCGTGACCCAGGGCCTCAGACCAGCATCCACTTAGGAGACCACAGGGAGAGCGGCTGGAAGAGCAGGGTGCCTGCCACCAGCAGGGGTGCCCTGTTTTGGATGGGGAGCTGACGCTCAGCAGGTCAGCTGCCTCACAGGGCCATGGAAACAGCAGTGATCGGAGTGGTGGCAGTGCTGTTTGTGGTCACTGTAGCCATCACCTGCATCCTGTGCTGCTTCAGCTGTGATTCAACGGCCCAGGATCCTCAGGGGGGCCCGGGCCGCAGCTTCACAGTGGCCACGTTTCGCCAGGAGTCTTCTATCTTCACGGGGCCGGGTCACCATGCCCAGCCCGTGGCGGGTGCCCGGGACTTCTGGACCTTCATGTGAGGCCTGACGGTCCCCAGGATTTGTTCTGCTGGTGGGTCAGACTCACTCACCACCCAGCGAGCCTTCCCCGGGGTCCTACTCCTCCAAGTCTGGCATTCCCGTCCTTCGCTGCCTCTATTCTGCAAGCTCCTTGTCCGGTCCCATCCCATCTCACTTTGCTCTGCCCTCCAGCCTGGAAATCCGCAGCAGTGGGACCAAGTGGAATTCAGCTTGGACCCCTGAGAGCTCAGCCGGATCCTTCCCACAGGATGGGGCTTAGGAGAGGCCTGCAGAGTGAGCGACTGGGCAATGTCCGATTGCATGATGGGCCAGCTCTTCTGATTTACATGGGGGACTTAGATCACTGGAATTGATTGTAAACAGTGTTGTGTCACTCAATTTATCCCAGGATGCCTGTGACACTGGTTCTATTGCCACCAGAAGAAACAGCGAGCTCAAGTAGACGTTTTAACGTTTTTACCTACCCCTCTGACTGAGTCATTTCGTTACTTGCAAGTGCACATTGCAGAGAACCTGACGTCGAGAACTGTCCCCTGCCAGTTGCCTGAATCAGCCCTGAAATCCTGAAACCAAAAGGCTGCTACCTGGGAACACGTGATTTATTTTAGAGTTGAAAATGTATACCCCTTCAGAGGCCTGTCAAGAATCAAGAGAAAAAAGAAACTCACAGAAAGCACAAGATGTTTTATTAACAAGAAAGCCAGAAAGAAGACTTTGAAACATATTTCGAATGAGACTTTGTTACTGTATTCTTATAGGTCGCTTCTAAGAGAATGTGATTGACTTGTGTCACTTAGAAATGATAGAAAAATCATGAACTGAAAGATAATTCCAAATAAGCTGAAATGTTGTGTTACATTGAGAGCACGTAACAAAGCTCTTGTTTTCATCACAAATAAAGGGAGGCTCAGTTTTTATTACCAGAAAATCTGTTTCTCTGTACCAGGAAATAAAGGCTGTGCCAGGTTTAGAATATGGTTTGAAGGGTGCAAACTTCTGGCTCTCCTGGCTCAAACGTCTCCATCCAGCCCTGAATGGATGGCTCTCCTAGGACCTGCTTCTTGAGGGGGGAGAAACTGACCCTGACAGGGGTCTGGCCTCTACGGGTACCTAGACAGGCTGCAGCAGGAAGGGCTCTCAGAGAGAGGCTTGGGCTGGAGAGGTGCAGAGGGGGAAGGGGCCAGGGAGAGAGGCTGGCGGAGAGGGATGGAGCAGGGAGAGCCACTGCCCAGGAATGGAAGCTCCTGGGAAGCCTGACTTGGTCACTCTGGACCTGAGAGCCCCCAAGCAGGGTCTTCGCAGATGCACAGGGGAGGAAATTGGCTGCAAAGAGGACCCAGAGACTGAGTGAAGGGAACAGTTGGGTGTTGTGTTCCCCGCAAATGAGCACTAAGGCACAGTTTGGGATGCAAGATGTTTATAGGGATCAACTTCCATGAGGGGAAGGAGGAGAGTGCAGGTTTCGATGGAAGGAAAAGTCAATTATGAAGCAGGCCCTTGATATGTACCTCCCACCTCTACTCAGCTGCTGAGTGCTCCCCGCCCTCTTCCCTGTCCCCTAAGGGTTGACCTCAGTCACAGCAGCCCTGCAGCTGAGGCTGCCCCTGAAGTGCTTCCTTGAAGGATCCTGGGTGGTGCATCTCCAAAGAGCTCAGCAGGGGCCTGTTTGCAGAGGTGCCCAGATATCAGAGGTGGCCAAACATGTCTAGACACAAAGATAGACCCAGGCACGGAAGCTCCAGGTGGGCAGAGACAGCAGTGCAAGGCCTGGGAGGGGGGGAAAGAGTAAGCCTTGGTTTCTCTCTGCCCTCTGGCAACGTCAGCTCTGTTCCAGGTCAGGTGCCTTTCAGCTGGACCAGGTATCAGGACCCCAGGCCCAGAGCTCTGTCCCTGTGCTGCATGGTCACAACCTCCCTGGGTCAGTGGAAGGAGGGTCTGGAGGTTGGAATCGCAGGACTCTGAAAACAAAGTGACGGTAGGGAGCTTGACCTCACTCTGCAGGTGATAGGCCGTGTGTCAAGTCCTGAGGTTTCCTCACTTGCTCACTTGCTAATCTACCCACTTATCTAACCACTATCCATGCATCCATGCATCTATGCATCCATGCATCCATGCATCCATCCATCCATCCATCCATCCATCCATCCATCCATCCACCCACCCATTCATCCACCCACTCCATCTATTCACTGTCTTCCTTCCTCACTTACTCATGCATGTGCTCATTCATTCTGTCGCTTGTTCTCTTATTTAGTCATTCACTCCTCTATTCAGTAAACACTGGCTGAGCACCGACTGTGTGCCAGGCTCTGCCCAGGGAACACGGGGGCCAACCAGACATGGCCCCAGCACTTGGTGAACTCCCAATTCACTGACCTGGACGAGGCTGCAAATACCACACTTAGGTGCTCAGGGGAGGGAGAGCTGGGAGACCCAGGGAAACCTGGCAGGAGGGGCCCTTGAGCCAGACTTGCAGGAAAGAGGGCACTTCAGCAAGGAGAATTTGGGGGAGGGCGTTCCAGGGGGAACAGCACTGAGGGCACATTCAGAGAACGCGTGGGGGCAGGGAGTAGGCAGTTCCGCAGGAGGAGATGAGGATGGACGCCAGCTAGCTCCCGACCGGAAGCACTTCTTGCCACACCTGAGCAGCACGTGTCTGGGCAACAGATGACAAAGGTGACAAAGAGGCAGCCTTGCTTGTCAGGCTGGGCAGGTATGGTCTTTCCTAGTGTGTGCACGCGTGTACACACACACACACACACACCAGCTTTGCAATCTGCTCTTGCTACAGAGGAACAGCGGTCCTGCAGTAGGAGCTAGAGAGAGTAGGTCTTTAGAGACTCTGGGCAAGGCCAACCTCGAGTGGAGCCGGGCTCAAGGGTGTGGGAGAAGCTGTCCCAGAGATCAGGGAGTTTGAGAAGAGAAGGCAGTCAAGGTCAACCACCCTGGAGCAGGCTGATGCGGAGCAGCTAAGGAAGGGACAGCAGGGTGGGGAGCATATGCGGCAGAGAAGCAGGGAGTAGAGTTACCACATTTAGCAAGTAAAAACGCAGGACATCAGTCAATTTTAATTTTAGATAGACTCCCCAAATAGCAGAAGTATGTCCCATGCAATATTTGGGACATACTTATACTAAAACATTATTTGATGTCTATCTGAGCATATATTTTAACTGATGTCCCGTATTTTATCTGGCAACCCTGCAAGGGAGAAAGTAGTTCTCGGGGGGGTGGTGAGTCAGCTGGTTGAAAAAAATCGGTTGTGGGGCCGGGTAGCAACCTTGAGCACAGAGAAGAGACCTTGAGTTTTGCAACATGAGGGTTGACAATGACCTTGGTGAGAACAGTTTGAGTGGAGTGAAGGGAGCAGCCTGCACAGTGGTGTGCGTGTGTGTGTACATGTGTGTGTGTGCAAGGGCAGTTGAATCAGTGGGAGCTGAGGAAGGGGAGCTCACAGTTGAAGATAATTTGAAGGGAAGAAGAGTGATATATTTCTACCAGAGTGGCAGCACACTGAGGGAGACACATTTTGGGAATGAGAGATTGAGCATGAGCTGAGCAAGGAGGATTGGACAGGGAGACACTAACAGTACACCAGCAAGGATGAGACCCGCAGAAGGGGTCCCCAGGATGGGCCTGGGGTTCGGAGCTCAGGAAGGGGGTCAGAGGGGCCAGGGCTGGATGGTGGGGTGCGGGGATGCAGATGCAGGCTGCATGCTTTGCCTGGGGGAAGGGGAGGGGGGAAGGGAGATAAGCCTGTCATGCCAGATGGTCTGTTTTCCCAGCAAAGCGGGAGCATCTGCCCAAAGATGGAGTAGCTGGGAGTAAGGAGAGTGTGGCATGATGACCCTGAGACAGGAGGAGCAGCTTCTACAATCCTCCATGTGCGCGTGGAGTCTGTGGGTGCAAGAGTGTGTGTGTGGGGGGGTGATGTGAGGCAGAGTATCTGTGTGGTGTGTGACCATGTGATGTGTGGACTAGCGTGTACGTGTGTGAGGTGTGTGTGGTATGTATGTGTGTGTGTTGTGTGTGTTGTGTGTGTTGGCCCAGGTGCTCCCCCTCTTCTGCCCTGCGTGTAAGAAGAGGGAGAGGCTGGCAGGAAGCGTCTGTCTCCCAGAGGAGGGGTGGCTACTCGGGGACAGACACAGGTTGGCACTAGAATGCTAGCAAAGCAGGGGTGTTTATCTGGTGTCAGCAAGGGAAGGGGCTGCTCAAGCTCATCCGGGAAATCTGAGGTGGGGCCTCACATGAACCTGGTGTCCAAATCCAGGGTTCTCTCATCCCTCTACTACCACTCCTAGCTCCTCTGCATTGGACTTGGCTGCGCCCGAGGCACTCTGCTTTCCATCAGCTCGTCAGGGCTCACAGCCACCCCATCACCTCCGTTTTGTACTTGAGGAAGCTGAGCTGCCCACCGGGAGGCACTTTGAACCAATGCCTCCCAGCAGTGCTGGGCAGCAACCCTCAGGAGCACGGCCCAAGCGTCCTTCCCGTCCACAAATGGGGTCTACCTGCAGCCAACTCTCAGCAGACCCGTTCCATACCTTCCGAATGAAGGGGAGGCCGGAGCCCCTGGGATCTGATTTGCCCTGCGTTTCCCTGGACAGGAGCCTTACTCACGTGTGGATCTCCCTGGATCTCTGGCTTCGGAGAAGAAAGGGGGTGTTTGCCATACCAGTTCTAAGGAGCAGCGGCCTCGCCCAGACAATCGGCTGTGGAGGCTGCACTTCTGCGATAACAGACCTCCGCCTGGAGCCGACTCACCACAGCCTCCCTCCCTGAGGCTTCACACCTGCCTCTCCACACACACCTTCCCCCTCATCTTCCTCAGCTCCTCTCCCGGCTCCACCCCTCCACCCCAGGGCAAAGGGCAGGGAAAACCCTGCTGTTCCACCCAGCTGCTCCTTGCCCTGCCCCCCCCCCCCCCCCCCCCCCCCCCCCCCCCCCCCCCCCCACCCAGACTGGCCGCCTCTGTTTTCCTGGTTGTGCAGCAGAGGTAAGGATTCCCTCCTGTTTGGTCTAAAAGGTGCGACTGAGCAAGCCTGAAGTTCCTCTAAACCCAACTATCTGGAGGGGCTCACCCCTGCCCTGTTTTTCCTGCACATTCTTGGCCCTGCAACCGGGGGAGGGGAGGGGTGTTTCTCTGTGGGACTGGCTGGATTCTGGAATTAGTAGGCCATGTGTTCCGGAAGAGTACCTTCCTTAAAGGAAACCACTTGTTCCAAGGAGTAGAAAAGGGACATTGTGCCTCGCCAGGTGCCCACGGTCCCCAGGACATACACTTGAAAAAAATCAGACACAGCCAGACGCACCCGCACACAGACTGTTCGTCTGGTTCGTTTGTAACAGGAGAAGTCAGAGGCAGCCTGTTCAGGAGGGGGCTGGTCCGGCAAATGCTAGCGCAGCCGTAACATGGAACATAGGCTTGAAAACAATAAGGTACATTCAAACCCGTTAACACGGAAGGATATTCATCATATATCAGTGAGTACAAGGTGGAGTAAATTAGAGAACTACACGTGTGCTGTATGTAAAATTGTATTTTTGTGAAAATACACGTAGCTGCGTAATAGAGGAGCGGGGCGTATCCAGGTGGTAACTAGGGTTTGTCTCTGGGTGAGGGGGGCTGTTCGTGGGCTTCAAATGTTTTCCCTTTTTGTTTATCTATGTTTCTTGCAATGAATGGTTTGCTTTTGAATAAGAAAAGAAACAAAGAAAAAGGAATACAATTTATTTTTAAATTATAATATAAAGCAACTCCAATCTGAATGGAGATCCAAAACCATAGTCACACATAGAATAGAAACGGTGACAAATGCTTAGGACACACAGACAAGGATAGACACACACACACACACACACACTCCTCTTCTGCCTCATTCACATGGGTAGTGTGGGCAAGCCCTGGGGGGTAG